TACCCAGACTAGTCTACAGCCCTCCAGCTCCCTTTTAGCCCCACCCCACCCCCCACTCCAATTACCAACCAGATCAGATCCTGTTTAACATGGGAACCCAAACAAGGTTAGCTAAATGTTACCACTTCCTGAGACCAATATAACTGCATATGAAAGTAAATTACTGTTGTGTACATTTTTGCAAAATATCTACATTACTACAAAGAAATGGTCTCTTAGCTCTAAATGTCTTGATGACATTCTAAATTGCTTAAAGAATTGTTCTAATTTATTATGCAAGGCACTGGAGGGCTGTCTGGCAAGGCCTATTACCATATTCCCTAACATGGGAATTCTGGGAACTTGGGAATGGGGAGAGGGATGACAAAACACGCATGATGACATCATGCTAATGTAACAAATTATGTACTTGTGCATAATTATGTTCTTGTGCAGGGCAAATAACACATTGTAACTGCCACATTCATGTGAGATTCCACTGCATGCAAATCATTTTGGCCTCATTGCAGTTTGCTATGGATGCCGCTATATGGGAGTTGCAATCTTAACGCATTGGGACACACATCCACAACATGTTTAATGTAGTTCATTTATTTGTAGCTTAATGTACTGGTGAACCCAGGCATCATGATTTGTAAAATGTATTGTATGATAGCCTGTTGGGTAAACTCATCCAATTGTGCTTTATTCAATAAGAAAAACATAATTTGCCATTTTGGGAGAATACAGACATCAACGACACAGACAAATGTCCTTCTGCATAGCTGCCAAACTCAGACTGCTAAAAGTTTTAAATACCTCTCTCTCCCCCGCCCTCTACTTTATTTCTCTCCACTCCCTGGCAATTCATCTCAGCACTTAACAAGCAAGTGGACCTAAGGTGATCTTCAAAATGTCTGTCTTGGGCATGGAGCTGGAAGGGAGATGATTAATGACTGAATTTCCTGCTAGCTAATTTCACTGAACAGGATTCTGCCTGTCAAGTGGAAGGAGGAAGCTGTGGCATAAACCCAGTTCCCCACAGAAGGACCAAAAACAGCTCTGTATGCGAGCAAGAAAAATGAGTTGATAAATAATTGGAGTTTGTCTTGTCCTCCTCTGTAATTTCTCTCCAGAGCCATTTTGTTTCCATTTGAAAGGCTAGCTACACCTGATCATCGTCAAATATTGGTGCCAGACCAAGAAAATTAAGGCAATATATAAATGGTATGATGTAGTGGCCTAGCGGTGAAGACGTTTGCCTCCCACTTGGAAGGTTGAGAGTTCAATCCGAGGCAGCGGCAGATTTTTCTCTATCAGGGCACAAAGAGAAAATATCTGCTGTGTGAATTCCACATAGGCATCAGGAAGGGCATCTGGCCAGTAAACATTCATCTCCATTCAGTTGTCCTGACTCCACCCCAAATAAAGGGATTAAAGGGTGGTAAAAAGAAAAAAAAATAATGGTAGGACCTATCTGCATGCAAAAGAAGTAGAAATGTAAAGAACGTTGTCTAGAGGCTCAGAACCAATAAAGCAGTGGTTCTCAACCTTTTTAATGCCGCGACCCCCAACCGGTCGTAAGTCGAGGACTAAACTGGTCATAAGTCGAGGACTAAACCAGTCGTAAGTCGAGGACTAAACCGGTCGTAAGTCGAGGACTTTCCCTGCCCGGGAGCACCACGCATGCGTGGTTCCACCCCTGCGCCGGCCGAGGTGTAGCTGGCAAGCGGCAGAGACAGAGCAGGCCGACCACCAGCTGGCCCAGCTCAAGGGAGGTAAGGCACCCGCCGGAAAAGGGGAAAAAAGATGGCGGACAGCATTGCTTGGCGACCCCCGTGAAATGGCCGATCGACCCCAAATGGGGTCGCGACCCATAGGTTGAGAACCACTGCAATAAAGGTTCCCAAAAAAGTTTGGAAAGAAAAACCTTGATCATGTTTAGGTGGTACTGAAGTTGTCTTGCCCTTAGTAATGTTAATGGGAACATCACTGACCTCCTGAGTTTTGACAATAGTTTGAAAAGATTTAATTGCCAAAATAAGTCTTCATTTTACAATTTGTAAATGATCAAGATGAGTTCTCAAAAGGCTAAAATATGTATGTCAGTCTTGTCTTCTCTAACTGGGACCCCTTCAGGTGGGTTGGGCTGCAGCACCTTCATCCATGTTGATGAATGTTTCTGCAAGATGTTATATGAGGGGAGATTGATCCAAAGGGTTGAATGTTTTATTTACATAACTGAATTCTTTCCAGCAGTAAAATATCTGAATCCTCAATAATTTTATATCTAATAAACAACAAACAAATGGGATAAAGAACCAAAGGGAGGGACTTGATGTTTGTTGACAATGTGTGATTGTTGAGTTAATTAATGGTTTTTCCTTCAGCATTTATGTCCAAGGCATTTAAGAAACCACAAAGCTCATTATCAGCTTTGCAGAATTAACTGTTTCTTTCTCTCACTCTCCTGTTATAGTAGACTCAGAGAAATATTCCACCCCATCTATTTCCCTGATCTGAGTAAGACCCACTAAACCAAAGAATATCATAATTTATGCACTGGCAATGTTCACACAAGACACTTTCCAATAATTAATTAAATGTATGTTTATTTAATTTTCTGAATTCACACAAAAGACTGAACCACAAATTAACCACATAGGCTGTGTTTGCCAAACACACTGAACTAATATTGTGGTCGGCTAATAAGTGGTTCAGATGTCATAGCAGAAGAGCCATTAAAGGCAGCAAAAATGTTGGTCTGCCTTCACATGTTGTGAGAAGGCAGAAGCTGTCTCACAGAACACTGTTATCACCGATTATTGAATAAACCACAATTGGCTCAGTCTGAACAACATGTTAAAGATAAGTTAAGATTATGAAAACACTGGCTGGATTCCCACACTAAACCACAAACTAACAGTCTCTCATGTTGTGGGAACTCAGATTCTGTAGCCTGTAAACCATGATTTAATTCTTTCTATGAATCCAGAGAAGTCTAACCTTAACCCTTCCCCTATATACTGCTTAAAAGGAAGAATATGGGTGACTCGTGTTCTTCCTTTTGAACATAAACATGGGCAACATGGGCCAGTGGAACAGCTTGCCTTCAGAAGTTGTGGGTGCTCCATCACTGGAGGCTTTTAAGAAGAGACTGGACAGTCATTTGTCTGAAATGGTATAAGGTGTCCTGCTTGAACAGGGGGTTGGACTAGAAGACCTCCAAGGTCCCTTCCAACTATGTTATTCTGTAATTCTGACACTGCTCTATAAAAAGCAATGATGGAACGAGGGACATACATTTAAGGAATCCTAAATACTGTGACTGAAATGTCTCTGCATGCAAAGAAAGGAGACCCAGAATCTCTTGGTTATTTTTTTTCCCTGTTGAACAAAAGCCATCCGGGTCAACTGGATGAAAAAGACCTCAGCGCTTTTTTAAATGCTGGGGGGGGGGAACTATAATACCACTGACTCAATGCAGAGAAGCTTTCTAGGGTTGCCTACTTGTCTTCCAATCTGCTATTAAACATCTTGCAAATCCTTGTTTCTCCACAAGCAATTCTCTTTCCACCAGTTCTCTTAGGCAGCCACAAACCTAAAAGAGAGTCATAATGTTTTCACAGCAAATATATATTGTGGCCAACTGGTTGTCTTCCCCTTTCAGGTTTACTCCTCTGGGTTTATCTGTTGCTGCCTCCCTCCATCCCTCCATCTTAGGAGGTCTCTATGGCAACAGCTGCCATGGCAAATATGCAGGCCCTCCCTCACACGGACTCATGCAGCCCACTACTAATTCATTTCAGCTCCCACATTAGTCTGAGTGCTGCATAGCTATAAGGATCCTCGCTTCTTCCCTGGTGGATTCAGAGGTGCTTGGGAGGCAGGGTGAAGCTGGACCAAAGCACTCTAACTAAAGCATTAAACCAAGGAGTAAGAGGAAATCAATATAGCTTTGCATGCTTCAGAGAGGATTTGGAAGAAGCCTTTGGACCGCACAAGATAAACGTAGCATCTTTCTGCTATTCATTAAACAAAACTCGAAAAAAGGTGCATTTCTTTTTTAAAAAATGTAGTAACATTAAATAGATTCCTGATGCAGAAGTGTGAGAAAAGGCAAGATTTTTTTTAAAATGGATTTGAAGTTGTTCCAATCATTTTGAAACATATGCAGCCCTAGAGATTAGTGAGGAGGTTGGTTTGTGCTTCCCTAAAAGCAAATTTGTGTTTGCAGTTCACCCATACATTCTGTATCTCCTCTCATATATAACTACTTGCAATATTCTTAGCCTAATGCCAAAGATTCCTATTGGCACACCTAACACTCATCTATAGTAGATGCATACAATGTGTTTACTAATAATTATTGAACCAATATTTGCTCAATAACAAATTTTCTGGCTGTGGAAGATAACCATAAATTCATCACATAAGCTGTAATGGACTAGTTTGTACTTTAATGTGTTCTCTGAACTTTGTGGCTGCTCTAAGACATCATATATATTTATTTGGTTTTGATTTAGTGTATTGTGCAAACCATCTAATTGAGTTTTGTTACCAATAAATATAGCATGGCTTAGCATGATGTATGAGTCCCAAAATGCTGTCTGAATGATTGATGGACTGATTGATTATGTGCCTTCAAGTCAGTGTAGACTCTTAGCAATCAGTAGATAGATTTTTCTTCATGAGTATAAAATGTCTGCAGGGAAGGAAATATTTATGCAAGGAACAGGAAATGAAGCAATCATTCCTATTGGAAAAGAGGTTAGAACAAAGGCTTTTTTTGGGGGGGGGGTCAAGTTTCCTACTGAGCCAGTAGCTTTAGCAGCATATCTTGGCCATTTTCAATAGGACTAGCTGAGATTTATTCATCCTTACACTGCAACAGTGTCTCAAGGTGCCTGGCTTAACATACCTGGCACCTTACATGGACACAGGCATTTTTCTAGCCATGTCCACCAATCGCTTCCACCCAAGAACAGTTCGTTGCTTAAATTTCACTACCCCAGACTAACCTTCAGTTTGTGCTCATGTTCTTTGTTGACCCGTGACAACAGCTGGGCTTTCCGTCTATTGAGAGCATCAATAAGCGCATCACACTGGGCAACCAGGCACGCTTCAAACTCCACGCTGTTCTCCTGCAGTCAAAATAAAATACTCATCAGTCAAAGCAATGGGAAGGACTAAAAGCAGCTGACTTGTTGGATTTGCCATCACAAGAGACTGATGTCACACTTTCCTGCAACAACCTCTTGAGATTTTCAGCATCATTGGGTTTGTTTGTTTTTTAAAATACTCTGGGCTCTTTGTTCTTTTCAGACTGCTTCTAGGAGCCATTCTGGCTGGGTTCACATGCTATGTCAGGCTAAGTTAGATGGTTTCTGGTTCAATGTGTTGCATGAAACCAGACAATAGGTTGAATTAATGATGATTCAGTGTATTGTGTAAATACAGGGGCTTTTCTTGCACTACACAGCAAGCTCAGCCTAACTCTATCTACAGGTAATTAATTGGTGCTAGACAGTCCTGGAGTGAGATGGCTGCTCTAATCATATTACAGTCATCTTTGTTGCGATGGAACCATTATCATTTCCTTCATGTATGCATGCGTGTGTTGGTATACACACATATATGCAATCAGCATGGGCTGATGATATTTGGACTCAGTCTCATCTCTTTTCTGTCTTTGCTTCATTCCTATAGATGTTTTTGGGGCTAGTGGTGAAGGGAGTTGGTGGAAGGAAAAAGAAATGCTTACAGCAAGTTATGCTCTTATCTCTTTCTCTCTGCTTGCCTATCTTCAAAAATACATGGAAGAAGTTGGATAATGGAGTTATGGAACTATTAATTCCTCAATAATGGAATTAAACAACGGGCCTTGGATGGATTATAGACAACCCCATAACTTACCCTGGTGATTTGGGAGAGGAGATGAAACCCACTCCTTGGCTCAGAAATAACTGTGTTTTTCAATTCACATACCAGCTTTTAAATGATATATTTAAATATATCATGCAAATGGAACCAATCAGTGGCTGCCAAAGACACATCCTAATCACGAAGACAGTTTCCATTATCTTTGCAGGCACTAGTTGGTCAATGTATGTACAGTCAACAGAACACCTCCATATTTTTTTACTTGGGAAAGTAACTTCCAGATAAAAATCATTTTCGGGTAAAATAATATAAATAAAGATTCACATAAGATTTTAAAGATATTTAAAGCTTATTTGAAGCATGAGGCAAGATAGGAAAGACTGAGAAACTGATATTGAATCACATATACAGGTAGTCCTCAACTTGTGACCACAATTGAGCCCAACATTTCTGTTCCTAAGTGAGACATTTGTTAAGTGAATTTTGCCCCATTTTACAACCTTTTAACAGTTGTTAAGTGAATCAATGCAGTTACATTAGTGACACGGTTGTTAAATGAATCTGGCTTCCCTATCGATTTTGCTAGTCAGAAGACCCCAGGACAGTGCAACCGTCATAAAAATGAGTCAGTTGCCAAGAGTCTGAATTTTGATCACGTGAGCACGGGGATGCTGCAATGGTCATAAGTGTGAAAAATGATCATAAGTCCCTTTTTTCACTGCAGTTCTAACTTTGAATGGTCACGAAACAAACTGCTATAGGTCAAGGACTACCTGTACATGTTTAGCATTTCCATCTTACAATGTTTTAAAAGCTGTTATTCCAAACAGAGAGTGGGGTTTTTTTTCCACTTTATAATATTTACTTTAAAAATAATATTTCCCAAAGAACCTTGCAGAATCAGATGTGAGGCTCCAAGTTACCCAAAGAGTCTCTGAGAACGTTTGCAGAAGGAAAGTTCAGAATATTGTTCTCCCAAGTCCAAATGCATATTCGTATTCTCAGACTGAAAGTTCATAGGATAAAATTCTGATTTGGGCAGAATTTGGTTCTTCCGAGCCAGCAGTAGCCCTACTATTCTAATTTGGCTCACATAGAAATTCTCCTAAAACTTGAGACATTCCTGGAAATTGAAAGCCCTGACTGAAGCTTTTATGTCTCTATCTAGCAATGATCACTCTCTTAAGGGAAAATCACAAGTCTCAGAATGGATGAGTCCCATGGCACATGGACAAAGTGAAGGACAGGAGAAGCAGCTCATGGAGGAATGTGCCTCCACTGAACTGAATAAAGAAGGAGTGTGCTCATGGGGGAGGCAGCCACAAAAAAAGAGGGAATGATTTGGCCACAGAGTTGAAGTGACTTGATGGATTAGATTCCTGCTCACTCAAAATGATGGAGGGAGGAGGCAGTATCCCTAAAGAGCCAAGACAAATTGTCTATGCCACCGAAATTTAAATTGATTCTGACTGAAGGCCTGATTCCACCTGAAAGAATGCAAAGCATTAATGCAACAAGCTTATTTGGGGGGGGGGGTTATTGGGTTGGGGTGGCAGAGAGGCAATGAGGAAATTATACTGTGCTGGATCTTTTGAAGAGTCTCCCTTTGTTCCTCCTTCCCAGCATTCCTCTCTCCCTGAACCTTTTGTTCTAACAGAGCAATTTTTCCCCACTCTGGCATTCTACAATGTTGCCAACTGCCAGCCCTATTATTCCCAACCAGCATCAGCTAATGGCAGTGACAGTCCAATACTTTGGAAAATATCAGGTTGGAGAAGATTGCAAGTAAGTATCCTAGCTTTAGGTCCACAACTAGAATTCCCTGAAGAACTAGGGAATGGGAAGGAGAGGGTAGAACAGTGGTGGCGAACTTATGGCACGCATGCCAGAGGTGGCATTCAGAGCCCTCTCTGTGGGCATGCGCACCATGCCCCAGAGATGGCAACCGTCCCTCTTCAACCAGCCGCCCGCTAACTCGCCGAGGTCCCACATGGCCGGATGCATCCCAGCATGGCTGGTTTCCCTCCCCCCATCCTATCCCTCCTGGCCTCACATGCTCTCCTTTTCCCAGGCACGACACACTGCATCGCCTTCTCAGCTGTTGGCTAGCCGTCCAGCTCAGAGCGGCTTCTCTGAAATGCTGGCAGCGGACTGCGGAGCCCCAGAGTGCGCCGATCAAGGGGCCTTCATGCGCTCGTTGGCCTCTATGTGCGGGGGCTGATGGTGTCAGGCAGCAGCCGCCCCGGCCGCTGCCTCGCCTTGCCCTGTGACAATGGCACCCCCACCCTATCTCACCTTGCCTCACCTCAGCCCGCAGGACGAGCCTCCTGCCCACCGCCCCACCTGCCAGAGACCCCCTGGATCTCCCCCAACCCTGCCCGGCCCCCACAGGCATCCCTCCCCACGAGCAACATTGAGGTGACCATGCCCACCTTGGCCACACCCAACCAGTCTGCCATGACCACAGCCATGCCCACCTGGTACCTGGCGATAAATAAGTGGGTTTTGGGTTGCAGTTTGGGCACTCGGTCTCTAAAAGGTTCGCCATCACTGGGGTAGAAGGTGTCACAGGGAGGGGGATGTACCAATAATCTCAAAATTATGGGCACTACCAGGCAATTGAACCCCCTCCCCTTTTAGTATGTGTTAGATACATCTCATACATCTAAAAAGGGGTGAGACATCAATCATCCACTTGTACTTACCATTTGGACATCATTGGCCCCTCTATCCCAAAGGTGCTTTTCCAAAAGCAACTGGACTTCCTTGTTTTTTTTTTCCTTGAAAACATTTGACTTCTCATCCAAGGAGCGTCTTCAGTTCTGACTCTGAAGCTTCCTGGATGAGAAGTGAAAAGTTTTCAAGGGAAAAAACAAGACAGTCCGGTTGTCTTTTGGAAAAGTACCTTTGGGGCAACCATGACCTGGATGACTGAGAATCTCCGTAGACATGCCCTTGGGAAAACATACAAGTAGTTTTCAAGTTACAACCATTCATTCAGTGGCCATTTGAAATTACAATGCACTGAGAAAAGTGACTTACGACTGATCCTCACACCTAGAACTGTTGCAGCAGCCCCATCATCATGTAATACCAAGATGAATTTACAATGGTTGCAGTTTCCTTCTGACAAGCAAAGTCAATGGGAGAAAGTGGATTTGCTTAATGACTGCATGGTCCATTTAATAACTACAGTGATTCACTTAATAACTGTGGCAAAAAAGATAGTAAAATTGGGTGTGACTCTCTTCCCTTGGTTAGCAACAGAAATTCTGGTCACAATTGTAGTCATAAATCAAGGACTAGCTGTAGACCAGCCAGAGTTTAAGGGACTTCCACATGACACCATTCCCCCCTCCCCAATTTCCCACAAAGTGGATTGAAGCTGAACTGTTGCAACTGTCACTTAGGCTGAGCTTGAAATGTTGAGATTAATACAGAGAACACTAAGAACCAATTGGTGTTCACCACTAACTGATCAACAGTACAATACAGTGTGAAAAAGTACTCCAGAGTCAATTCCCAATATCCCATCCCCATTTTCAGTTACACCAGGGGTCTTCAAACTTGGCCCTTTTATGACTTGTGGACTTCAACTCCCAGAATTCCTCAGCCAGGCACGCTGGCTGAGGAATTCTGGGAGTTGGTCCACAAGTCATAAAAGGGCCGAGTTTGAAGACCCCTGAGTTACATTAACCCCTTTCCCACAACACACTTAAATGAGTTCATTTCCTAGAATTTTGTACTTCCCAGGTGATGGTATTTGACCCTGTTAGGAAGAATTACTACTAACAGAATTACTACTAAGAAGATTTGGTTGAGTTTTTAGGTGATTTGATTAAGCATGTTGTAGAAACAAGGCTGTTATGAACATTTGGAAAGTGATTTGCAATACATGAATAAATAAACCTAATCAATTGTTATAAGAAGAACCTTTTCAGCACCAAAGATAACATCCCTCTGCTACCTCTTGCAAATTATCACGGTAAAATGACAGCACATTGGCATTTTCTTGTGGCTAGACAGGTTTTCCAATACCTTAATCCTGGTAATTTGCTGCTATGACAGCCAGAGTGGGTGGAAGGTGGGAGAGAGACTATGTTTAGAATACTTTTCCAATAAGCACTAAGAAGGGATGCTAAAGGAATAGGACACAGGGAGGGAGATAATGGTTGCAACAGTGCAGGACCCAAAAGGAAATGGTCCATTCGTCCTCTGTGTGTAGCAAATGGAAATTATCACTTTTAGTGTGATTTCTGATACAGCGCAGGTCAGCTAGAAGAAAAAAAAATCAGCTGCCAAATGCAGGTACGATTATCAGATTGTAGAGACATGGAAGTACTTTTGGAGGGTGAGAATAAAGTATAGGTGACTTCAGTGCGTTAAATATGACTCTATTTTATAGATGGTAGTCAGCTATTCCAACAGAGCAATTTTTCTCAATCTGGGCATGCTGGCTGGGGAATTCTGGGAATTGAAGTCCACATATCTTAAAACTGCAGAAGTTGAGTAACACTGCAGTAGAGTATTATTTCAAGGAGCGAAAATTAACTTCAGAGTCTGACAAATATGTTCCTTGAAATGCCTAGCCACTTTAAGCTGTGTGAACTTCAACACTGAGCCCTGATGGCACAGTGGTTAGAATGCAGTATTGCAGACTAATTCTGCCAACTGCCAGGAGTTCAGTTCTGACCAGCTCAAGGTTGACTTAGCCTTCCATCCTTCCGAGATTGGTAAAATGAGGACCCAGATTGTTGGGGACAATATGCTGACTCACTAAACCACTTAGAGAGGACTGTAAAGCACTGTGAAGTGGTATATAAGTCTAAGTGTTATTGCTATTGCTAACTCTGAGAATACATCATTCTGCAATGCTGGTTGGGTATTCTGGGAGTTGAAGTTCACACATCCTAAGTTATTGAGGTTGGCTGTTCTTAGGGGAAAACACATCCAGGTACAAATACACACACAATCAATAAAATGATGATTTGTAAATAGTAACATCACCATCATCCTTATCCTCATTATTACTAATATTATGGAATGCATAATTTAATACAAAAGAGCTTGATCTTTATTACTGGCTGATAGTCAGTCAAAACTGCTCATGTTTGCATCCCATATTATGCCATATTGTATTTTGCCTTATCCTGTAATCCAAATTTAGACCGGGGTCAAGATGATTACAACAGAATGCCTTAATCACAAACTGTAATTACAGCCTGGCTGTTATTAGTTTATTTTATGCACAGTCTAGTGTATCACCCAAAATAGACATTTAACCAAGAATCAGCTTTAGCCTCTATATTCTGGATTTAGAACAAAGTAACTACTGCAAAAGACTTTCTACTTCTCCATCTGTTTAGCCTCTCCACCATGGTTGCATGGGAAATAAAGCTATTCTTATTTGTGCAATTTACCCATCAAGGAGACAGAGAGGTGGGTGAGATCAGCCCCTTTTCACTCTAAATGCAATGAGTCATCCCTCAAATACACCCGCACTCCATCCTTTGGTGTTTTGCTAAAGAATTGGTCATCACAAATGTGATTGGGTTATTGCTGAAAAGAAGAAGGACTGGCAATCTGTTGTCAACTGTGGTTTGCTATGGTGTTTGTGTGTATTCTAAGCTCAGGGAATTGAATGCCACATAGTGGCACTGCTCACATTCTACTTCTGTTCATGACTATTAGAGTCAACACAATACCTGGATTTGTTGAACCATGTTGCGTAGCTGTACCAAAAAGTCTTTGGCTTCTTTGGCTCTGTCTGAAAGTCCATTCAGGGCCTGGGACAGCTGGCTCTGCAGAAAACAAGGAAGGAAGAAGAAATGGGAATCAAAGGAGCATTTATTTCCATATACGGTTCCTAGATGTACTGATTTATATCCTAGCAGATGATCAGAATTCCTTCTTTCCCATCCTGTTCCCAATCATGTTAGGGAACCAAGCCATCAGTTAAAGCCCAGAGCAGGAAATTAATCAGAACTGATTTCCATCAAAATGATTTCCACCAAAATGTTAAATGATTTAGTTTATTATATTCCATTACACTCCTTCCCTAAAAATGGTTGCTATCTAGTTGGAAATGTTGTTCTCATTCTGTTAGCCACTTTTTACAGACCAGCAAGATGGAAAGCCAAAATTAAATTGAGTGATCCCATGACTACAAGGAGGAAAAGAAAGTGCAGGAAGCATAAAGCAATTCTGCATGCACTCAGTCCAAAGTACCAACACTGGAGGGAATTAATTAATTGAGTTCTCAGTGTAATTCAGTCCATTGAAGTAAATGAAGACAGGGTGAAAATCTAATAAATAAACAAGACAAAACAAAACAAAACAGAATTTGGGGATGTCTTCCTTAAATATGATATTATAGTTGACTAAATCAGCCCAAAGGCAATATTGTACTAGATTGATGATATTGGGATCTATAGCCTGCTTCATTTGGAGGTACCCGATTGGGAAAGATGTAAATGCTGATCTACAAAATAATAAATACATTAAATTTTAACTTTTCTTGGTTATTTTTTGTCAACTAATCAACTCCATTATTTCACCCCAACTCCAGCCACAGAAGAGATAAATCTTCAGGTAGGAAAAAAAACACTCCCCCAGACATTATTCTCTTTGATTGCTACAACTAGTACTCATAATATGCTATCACTGTATTTTTTTAATAATTCCTATGAATTTTGTTATTATGGCCTTTTTGTAAAAAAAACATGCTTTGAACAATCTTGTTCTCTTAACAACTACATTATAAATATGTCTGCAAACACTGTCTCCTCCTGACCTATGTTGCTCGTACTCTGTATTTTAAAATATACAGTTAGTATATCCGACAAATTGAACTGAAGAAGGTCATAGGTGCTTTGTTTCAGGGTTGGCTATAAAGTTAAATGGATGGTGGAAGATGGAAAGTGGTGATGGTGGTGGTAACTTCCTGGCTGTTCCTCCTAAATGTGCAAATGGTTGTATTTGTTCTACTTCATATCTTGGGCCTCTAAATTATATTATTGTCTAAGGCCTGGATCTTTCAGTATTATGCCCAGGTGAACCAAATGTCAGGTGTCGTCTCCCTCAGCATCTGATGGGCTTCTTGCTCTCCTTGTTGCTTGCTTGATGCCTTCAAGTCAGTCTTCACTCCTTGACTTGGTGGTCGCCTGGACTAGTCCCTGCAGTTTCCTGGCAAGGTTTTTTTTTGGGAAGTGGTTTGCTACCATCTCCTTCCTAAGCTCCTGAGAGAGTGACTGTCCCAAGGTCATCCAGCTGGCTTTGTGTCCAAGGTGAAGCTGCAGTTGGGTTTCTAGCCCGGTCCTGCTTTCACAATACACAAAACTGGCTTTATATTATATTAAGGTTCTTTTAATTATGAGATAAATTGTAATTGTTTAGAACATTATTTGAATGGAAGTTTTGGAAAGGGCCTTGGAGATCTTCCAGTCCAACTTCTTTGCCCAGTGCAAGAATAGAAATCTACGAGAAGAGCAGGCAGAGCTGGAGGGCAGAGTTAAACATATCATCAGTTTGAAGTCCTTGGATTGCCGCAAAAGATCCTAGTCCAGCTCCCCTTGAATTCCATTAACCTTATCTAGAACCAATTTGGTATTGACTAGATTCTTGTGTACAGACTTGAACAATAAATATTTCTGAACTGCAACTTAAGCTATGGTCCTGATCTTTAGTGCCTGACAATCCCCAATAAATGGCCATTCAGCCTCTGTTGAATACCTCCAGTGAAGTTAAACCCACCTCCTCTTGAGATAGCTGTTTCATTAGCGAACAGCTCTTACAATTGGAATTGTTTCCAAGCAAAAAATACTTTGTTATTTAAACCCATTGTCTTTTGTTCTGTTTTCTGGAACAACAAATACATATTTTTGCTCCACCTTTTGCAATACAGCTTTCTGTTATGTCAGCACAGCCATCATGTCTTTCTACAGACTTGTCTTTTCCAGGCTAAACATACCCAGCTCATCCAACTGTTCCTCAACTGTTTCTCATAACTTTTTCATAATGATCAAGCTGCAAAGCAAAGGCTTAACCTCAGATGTAATGTGTATTTCCAGTAATGCCTCTAAGTTTCGATGAAAACTAGAGGGGTGTTTAGAAAACTAAAATGATAGGTGGCTTCAGCATAGTGTTTTCTTTGGAAGACTACTTATGGAAAAAAATATATACATAAATAGATTGCTGGAAGGCTAAGAATGTTAGTGCAGTGCATTTTGCACAAAAAAAGAAGAAGACCAAGTCTGGTCTAGTGATTACCGGTAGAGCACCAGGCTGGATACCCGGAATTGTGAGTTCTAGTCCTGCTTTAGGCATGAAAAATGGGTGGGAGACTCTTCTCCCTCAACCCAACTCACCTCACAGAGTTGTTATTGTGGGATGGGGAATAGGAGGAGGAAGGAGTATTAAGTATGTTCGACACTTTGAGTTATTTATGAAAACAGTAAAGGCAGAATAAAAAAAATATTTTCAAACAATTACCAGTTTGCCTACTGGTGATTGTTTTATGTGGACTCTTCCCACAATGTTAACCATTAAAAGGCTACATGCAGCGGAAATGCCATGTTTCACAGCTAACACGGCACATCTAACTTGACATTTAACCCACATTCAGGCAGGCAGACCCAACACAGCTAGATTAACTACTTCACTGCAGGCAACAACGAACACATTCAGGAGCTGCTTAGAAATCATACCCTGTGTTTATGTCTCTCCCCCAGGGTTTAAATTCTAGGCCTTTTCCTCCCACCTTTCAAATCAATAATATGAGAGGTTGTGGGATGGGAAGACTGAGATGGTAATGGAAGGAACTGTAGACTTACACAACCAAAAAACAGAAGGGATGTGTGTTGGTAGCTTTATCTCATAAATGTCAACTCAATCTCGCTGGTGAAAAAAACTTGGGAGAGACCCTGTCTTAACAAATTGTCAAATTTATTAATTTGTAAATGAAACAAATGAAATAACAGTTGGAAATTCTTCTTGCAGTTTCCAAAATTCTGTGTTCATCTATATTATTAGATTCAATATTAAGGCATAATATTATTTTTAACCCGGTACAAAATGGGGTGAAGGAGGGATATTTTAGTCCGTGGGTCTCTCTTGAATGGTTCCAGGAGCAATTTTGAGAAGAGAGCAGCTGCTTCAGAACTGGAATTTCTTTCTTTCTTTTTAATCTATACACATTTAGCAGTCAAGCTCTTTCAGTCAAGATGGTGCCTTGATTGCTAGAGGGAAAATGACAAGAAAGCAGTAAATGGAGCTGACTGAGGCTGGCAAATTACCTTCACTTTAGTTATCTGCTCCTTGCAATCAATTGCTTCCACATTATGTAAATTGGACATTAAGAAGATGATTCAATGTAACTTTTCCCAACTTGGGCCCCCTATTCGTATGTTGGAGTTAGCTCCAAGAATCCTCAGCTGGCATGGCTTGAGGAGATATAGTGCAATCTATCTAGATAACCTGAGTCCAAAATGTGCATCAAAAAACCAGGGAAGGTTTTTAATGATGAGGAAGATTGATCAGCAGGACTCAAAGGCAAACAAGTACCAGGAACCATTAAATTGGCAATCTCCCTGTTGTTTTCTGAGAAGCAGAGCTGCTGTTTCCTTACTGAGTTGACTAACCATTTGCTTAGCTTTCCTCAGCCTGCTGCCTTCCGGGTATTTTGACACTGTGACTCCCAGAATTTCAAGCTATTAACCACACTTTCTGGGAATGCTGGGAGCTGCAGTCTACTCTGGAAGGTCTCATTTTCAGGAAGCTTTCTGGTTCCCAGCTTTTGGTTCCTGGGCCAAAACAAGTTTGGAAAGGAACAGGGCTTTTTTTGTCGGGCACCTTTTTTGGATGGCACCTTGTAGGGTAGGCAAGGCAAGTTGTATGATGTGTGTGAGTTCCAGCACCTTTTTTTTTTTTTTTTTACAAAAAAAAGCACTGGAAAGGAATATAAAATAAAGCAACCAGTTCCTCCAAACCAGGGGTAGGCAACCTTGGCTCTTTTATGACCCGTGGACTTCAACTCCCAGAATTCCTGAGCCAGCTTGGCTGGCTCAGGAATTCTGGGAGTTGAAGTCCACGAGTCATAAAAGAGCCAAGGTTACCTACCCCTGCTCCAAACTTTCCATAATACATCTTCCAGGAAGTTGCCTTAGGAATATTTTCCACAGCTTTTGGAATATTGTCCTCTTTTGGAAAATGTTTAAAAAGATCTTCAGTGTCACAGAAAGGTAACGATCATGGGAACTTTTGTATTGCAAGGAAAAGACCACTGAAAGGTAAACTTTGGAAAAGACTTTTTTTCATCCTCTCCCATTTTCCTAGCCTAAGATTGTGATTCATGCCCTAAAGAAAGTGATCTAGTACAAAAATAATGTTTGCTTAGGTTTAAGTTTTGATTTTGCATGAGATACAATTCATTATCCATAGAATGTGGTAGGAAATTTGGCTTAAAAAAAGATTTCACATATTGATGCAGGTAGCTCACTTGTGATAGTTAAATAGGATTCTATGGGAATAAGCAGGGGATGCTGAGAATGAGCCAAAGGAAAAAGCCCATCGTCTTCAGGTTTTTCTTGTTTGTGGGCTCTCAGAAGGAAAAGGTATATTGTAGTTCTGGTCTATGCTAATGTAGCATGCTGGATCAGATAGTGATCTTGGTTGTGTTATTTAGGACTAAGTTCACATAGCAATCATTGGGAGGGCTACTAAATTCTGGGATGATTGAAAGGCACAAACAATGAGTAACCATCTTAGAACTGACATGTCTGGGATGAGTAATCATCAATAGAAG